ACTACAAATAAATTGAATTAGTAATTTAGAGTGATACAAAATTATGAAAAAAACTCCTGCTAGACCCCCACTACTACTACTACTACTACTACTACTACTACTACTACTACTACTACTACTACTACTACTACAGCTATCAATGAATTCAGCTTGTTTCTATAGCCATTTTCAATAATACCAATTATAAAAACAACTCCTGAAAGTTGTTTTACTACTACTACTACTATTAGGCCACTACTGCTACTACTACTACTACTACTACTACTACTACTACTACTACTACTACTACTACTACTACTACTATTATTACTATCACAAATCAATTTAATTAGTGATTTACAACAATACAAATGATGAAAACGCTCTGCCAGACCACCATACTACTACTACGACTACTACTACTACCACTATTAATTATTCTCATTACAAAAGCTGTTGGCATTTGCGTCCCTCCCTCCTCCCTCCTCCCTCCTCCGCCTCCGTGTATTGAAATGCAGTCGCGGGCGTACAAAGCAGATAAGTCGTCCTCTTAATATCTGCGGAGCACTTTGAAAGCGAGACAGTTCCTTTCACTAATGACGCCATGTTTAAACTGCCGACCCTCTCGTATCCTCTGTCTCTCCAGTACACTTGAAGATAAGACTCGAGAAACGTATGTTGCCGCTAATTAGAAGTATAGAAGCCAAACTCTGCCGTCTCTTCAGTTATAAACCCATTGGTGTCTGCTCCCATTCAGGCTCATATCACTTGTTCAAAAGACGAGGAATTAAAGTAACTAAGACTATGTTCATTTCGCGTTTAAAGTCCCGATATTACGCCATTTTCTGTTCTAATGTTGTTTCCTCGTCACAAACAGACCTGGAGTTGTGTTTTGTTTTGTTTCATTCGCCCACGTTTGACACACAAACCCTGAGTTCTTCTCGCTGAAAACACTCTGCTCCACCTCGTGATGTCGTGCGGTGACACAGGAAGCGCTCCACCGTGTTTTTAAACTCCTTCACTAGAATCACTTGGACGATTTCGGACCTGGAATTGCCGATCTCTACTGAACTAAAATGTAAAATGAGCTTGAAAACTACCACTTCGTGACATCACAAGGTGGAACAGAGCATTTTAAGCTTCGGGGATGTAGACAGACTAATAATAGAGTTATTCAAAGATGTGTGAATGAAATAACACACAGCTCCAGGGTTGTTTTCGATGAGGTAACAACATTATAACACGACTTGAAGCTCACAAGAGTCAATTTTGTGTAATTTAGGATCTTTTACAAGTTGGGAGTCTTTAAATGTGCATTGTGTAACGTTTCTGGTGGAGGGTTCATCATGTACTTTTTTCCTTTGTCTGGAATGTTTCAAAATATGATATTACCGTATTTTTCGGACTATAAGGCGCACTTAAAATCCTAAAATTTTTCTACAGTGCGCCTTATGTATAAATTCTGGTTGTGCTTACTGACCTCAAACCGATTTTATGTAGTGTGCAGCGCTCAGAATGTCAAAATGTTTTAGTACGACTTTGGTAAACTACGAAGCCGCACCACTTGATGGATTGTCGGAGCATTATGGCTGCTGTAGTCAGGAGCCTCGTCGTGTCCTTCAGTCCGACAGAAGCAGATATTTGTGTGCATAATATACATATATTTGTTGTTGTTTGTTAGATTTGTAATGTAATGCGGGTACTGTGTAATTATTGCTTATATTGTACAGGAAATGAGAAGTCTATATGTGTTCTTTGTTAATTTGGGATGGTAGAGAAAAAAGGGGTGGGGTTAAATAAGTATTTACTTCCTCCCACTCCTTTTTCGGTCACAATGAAAATTCGGCGTAACATTTATTTTGTCTGTTATTATAGAATAGAAATATTTACTTTTTGTGTTATATCTATGTATTTATGTTTTTTTATTTATGTCCTATGTATTACTGTCCGAATAAACATTCATTCATTCAAGCTGAACCACATCAGTGCACAAGGAATGAGCTGTTTTTTGTTTTGTTTTTTCCCAGCACTTATAATTTATGCAAATTAGTCATATTGGTTTTAAGTTTCATTTCTGTAAAATGTAAACAAATGTGCACAAAGTTGCATTAAACACATTATTACTCAATGTATATTTGAGTCCTCGTCGTAGGAAAAAAAAAATAAACTCAAATTATCCACCCACATTCACCAAGACAGGGAGCGAAGGTCTCGGTCTCAAGTGTCGTCCGTTTGTTTCGCTTAATGCGCCTTATAGTCCAAAAAATACGGTAAACCTTTCTATGATCATGGAGGTCAACCCAGACCAAGTTACAGGTCAGATCTATGGAGAGGCGACCCCGCTCACAGTCAGAATGCCTGTTTTTCGTGGTATTTTTGAGCTATAAAACCAGCTGTAATTGAATAAACGTTAGAGCTCTTTAATGTCACACTGTGGAACATTCCAGGCAGAGCATTAATAGTCCACGTTATAGTTTTCTTGTTATTTATATGTGTTTTCCTGATGCGTTTTTCCGTGCAGGAGTGTAGACCGCAGCAGTGGAGGTCGAGCATTGAGACCAGAGACAGTCTGTACATCCGAGAGGTCAAAGAGGAGGACACCGGGAACTACACCTGCGAGCTACAACTGGGGACGTTTGTGGTGCGCAAGACCACCGAGCTGTCCGTCACCGGTAAGAGACAGACTTTTGTTTACGTGGCAGTAGAAATGCTCGTACTGTGATCTGAATTGTGAATCTGCCGGTTTTATACGAGCGCTGTACTCTGAATTTGTTTTTAAAAAAGATCACACAGGAGAATAATTTGCTTCTCCGTATTCAGGAAGGCGTGACTCGACTTCGTGTCTTCGTGTGCGATTTTGAAGCCGCTGTGCTCCTTTTGTGTGTATGTGTTGTGTCAGCGTGACTCTGAGCAGCTCTGTCAGACAATAACCGCCAAAACATCAGCAACAGACAATGAAATAAAGCGTTAGGGGCGGACACAAGGTACAAAATAATTATAACTCATCTCTCGTAAAGTTGTAAATTTAAAGTGCAGCTTCTCATCCACGTTATCCATAGAATTTGTCCTCCGCGAATAATGACCCCAGTCCACAAAACCTTTTAACGCTTTTAATCCAGTTTGAAGCGTTCTTTAAAAGTAAAAAGGCCGGAGTAGTTCCTCGTGTGTCTGTTTATATCCAAACAGCGCACGGATCGAGGTGAAGCTGCAGATTAGCGACAGTGACTCTACTTCTTTATCTTTTTTATGCTTTAAAAATCATCTATCTGAAGTATTGCTCTAGGATTGGGCGAAATTTTAATACCGTTAAATCTCCTCAGGATTTTATCGGGGTATACAGTATTATCGTGTTACCAAAATGTTTTAGTACGACTTTGGTAAACTACGAAGCTGCACCACTATACGGTCTATGTGTATGACCTGCAGACTTATAATCTCGTTTTTCAAAATAAAACCAAAAATAAGAAAATGAAAAAAAAACAGCTATTTTCTTCATTATTTGTTTCCAAAACCAAAATGAAAAAAGGGAAAACGATTTGTTTTTTCAGGTTTGGATTTTGTGTTTAAATGAATAATGGAAAAAAAAAATGGATAATGGACTTTTGCGCCACATATGGACTGAACCAGGACTAAACCATTTACAGTACTGGGCTGGTCCCGGTCTCAGTCCTCGTCTCAGTTCTGGTCTGGTCCCGGTCTCAGTCCAGGTCTGGTCCCGGTCTAGTCCCGGTCTCAGTCCTGGTCTCAGTCCATTCTCAGTTCTGGTCTCAATCCTGGTCTCAATCTTGGTCCTGGACCCGGTCTGGTCCCTGTCTACCAGGACTGAGGCCAGGACCAGACCCAGGACCAGATCGTGATTGAAATCAGGACTGAGACCGAGACCAGTCCAGGTCTGGTCCCGGTCTCAGCCCTGGTTTGGTCTCGGTCTCAGTCCTGATTTCATTCACGGTCTGGTCCCGGTCTCAGTCCTGGTCTCAGTCCCGTTCTCAGTTCCGGTCCTGTTCCTGGTCTCAATCCTGGTCTCAATCTTGGTCCTGGACCCGGTCTGGTCTCTGTCTACCAGGACTGAGGCCAGGACCAGACCCAGGACCAGATCGTGATTGAAATCAGGACTGAGACCGAGACCAGTCCAGGTCTGGTCCCGGTCTCAGCCCCGGTTTGGTCTCGGTCTCAGTCCTGATTTCAATCACGGTCTGGTCCTGGCCTCAGTCCTGGTCTCAGTCCCATTCTCAGTTCCGGTCCTGTTCCTGGTCTCAATCCTGGTCTCAATCTTGGTCCTGGACCCGGTCTAGCCCCTGTCTAAGTCCTGGTTCAGTCCGTATGCGGCGCCAAAGTCCTGCAAACAAGTTTTTCCGGTTTCTTATTTTTGCTTTTATTTTGAAAAAACAAATGAACAAATGACACACGGATTCAATTCCTGCATCACCACATGACATCACCAGGTGGAACAGAGTGTTTTATTTAGTTTGAGAGAAGAACTCGGCGTAAATGTGCAGGATTTGAGTGTTAAACGTGTGAATGAAGCAAAAAAAACACAACTCCAGGTCTGTTTGTGACGAGGAAACGACATTATAACAGATCAGAAAAGCTTCGTACTGTATTTTCCCTTTAAATAAAAATACATACGCTTCTTTTTCTTACATATCCTGCTCGAAATATCACAAATCTTGCTCCTCGCCGTTCTCCCGTAGACTCCATCGTCTTCCGCGTGTCCGACCGGAGCCCGTTTTAATTGCGCAGTGGTGGATTTCGCGGTTTCACGTCCTCAGCACTTTCTCCTCCTGAAATATTTAAGCCCAAACTGTGAAGCGTGAGACTGATGGCTTTACTTTCACGTCCGCGTCAGGGCCAAGGTTGACACAGCGGTGGATTCTCGATAAATACGAGTCCGCGCTGTCCCCCCCCGTCAGGCCTTATCTGATCGGGCTAATGTCGAGCGCAGGGCCGTTTAATTAATATGGATCAATTAAGAGACCTGAGCTACGGTTAAAAGGGCGAGTGACGGGTGAGAGTGCACATTTCACTCAAACATACTTCACATTATTATTATATTATTGTTATTATTATTATCAGCAGGTTTTACTACTTTTTTTGGTTTATTTTTTTTATTTTGGTGAAGTTCGTAGTTTTACTTTGTTGGTCAAAATGTTTGGTTTCTGATCTGAAGATTGGCGGAACAGCTCTTACAGTTTAGACCTGGTTTAGAACTAGTTTAGTCCTGATTTGGTCCTGGTTTGGTCCTGGTTTGGTCCTGGTTTGGTCCTGGTTTAAATCTGCTTTACTCCAGGTTTAGTCTTGGTTTAATCCTTGTTTAGTCCTGGTTTAATCCTTGTTTAGTCCTGGTTTTATCCTTGTTTAGTCCTGATTTAGTCCTAGTTTGGTCCTAGTTTGGTCCTGGTTTGGTCCTGGTTTAAATCTGCTTTACTCCAGGTTTAGTCTTGGTTTAATCCTTGTTTAGTCCTGGTTTTATCCTTGTTTAGTCCTGGTTTTGTACTAGTTTATTCTTGCTTTAGTCTTGGTTTAGTCCTGATTTAGTCCTAGTTTGGTCCTGGTTTGGTCCTGGTTTGGTTTAAATCTGCTTTACTCCAGGTTTAGTCTTGGTTTAATCCTTGTTTAGTCCTGGTTTTGTACTAGTTTATTCTTGCTTTAGTCTTGGTTTAGTCCTGATTTAGTCCTAGTTTAGTCCTGGTTTTGATGTGGTTTAGTCCTGGTTTATACCTGGTTTTGACCTGGTTTGGTTGTGATTTAAATCTGCTTTACTCCATGTTTAGTCTTGGTTTAGTCCTGGTTTAGTCCTGATATAGTTCTGGTTTAATCCTGGTTTAATCCTGGTTTAGTCCTTATTTAGTCCTGCTATAGTCCTGGTTTCTACCTGGTTTTGTCCTGATTTAATCCAATTTTAGTCCTGGATTAGACCTGGTTTAGTCCTGATTTAGTTCTGGTTTATTCTTGCTTTAGTCCTGGTTTAGTCCTATTTTAGTCCTGGTTTAGACCTGGTTTAGTTCTGGTTTAGACCTGGCTTTGATCTGGTGTCGTCCAGGTTTAGTCCTAGTTTAATCCTGGTTTAGTCCTGTTTAGTCCCATTTTAGTCCTGGTTTGGTCTTGGTTTGAATCTGCTTTACTCCAGGTTTAGTCTTGGTTTAGTTCTGGTTTAGTACTGGTTTAAACCTGGTTTACTCCTGGTTTTGACCTGATTTAGTTTCGGTTTAGTCCTGATTTAGTCCTAGTTTAGTCCTGGTTTAATCCCGTTTTAGTCCTGGTTTGGTTTAAAACTGCTTTACTCCATTTTTAGTCTTGTTTTAGTCCTGGTTTAGAACTGGTTTTGACCTGGTTTAGTCCTTATTTAGTCCTGGTTATGTCCTGGTTTAATCCTGGTTTAGACCTGAGTTAGTCCTGGTTTAATTCTGGTTTAGTACTGGTTTAGGCCTGGTTTAGTCATGTTTAATCCCATTTTAGTCCTGGTTTGTCTTAGTTTAGTCCTGGTTTAATACTGTTTTAGTCCTGGTTTTGACCTGGTTTACTCCTGGTTTAGTCCTATTTTAGACCTGGTTTAGTCCTTATTTAGTCCTAGTTTATATTTGGTTTCTACATGGTTTAGACCTGTTTTAGTCCTGGTTTAAATCTGCTTTAGTCTGAGTTTTGTTTAGTCCTTGTTTAGACCTGGTTTTGACCTCATTTAGTCAGGGTTTAATCCTAGTTTCTACCTGGTTTTGACCTGGTTATGTCCTGATTTAATCCTAGTTTAGACCAGGTTTAGTTCTGATTTAGTTCTGGTTTAATCCTAGTTTCTACCTGGTTTTGTCCTGGTTTAGTCCTAGTTTAGTCCTGGTTTAGACCAGGTTTAGTCCTGGTTTAGACCAGGTTTAGTTCTGATTTAGACAGGTTTAGTTCTGTTTAGTTCTGGTTTAATCCTAGTTTTACCTGGTTTTGTCCTGGTTTAGTCCTAGTTTAGTCCTGGTTTAGACCAGGTTTAGTTCTGATTTAGACCAGGTTTAGTTCTGATTTAGACCAGGTTTAGTTCTGATTTAGTTCTGGTTTAATCCTAGTTTCTACCTGGTTTTGTCCTGGTTTAGTCCTAGTTTAGTCCTGGTTTAGACCAGGTTTAGTTCTGATTTAGTTCTGGTTTAATCCTAGTTTCTACCTGGTTTTGTCCTGATTTAGTCCTAGTTTAGTCCTGGTTTTGATGTGGTTTAGTCCTGGTTTATACCTGGTTTTGACCTGGTTTGGTTGTGATTTAAATCTGCTTTACTCCATGTTTAGTCCTGGTTTAGTCCTGATATAGTTCTGGTTTAATCCTGGTTTAATCCTGGTTTAATCCTGGTTTAGTCCTGGTTTAGTCCTGCTATAGTCCTGGTTTCTACCTGGTTATGTGCCTGATTTAATCCTAGTTTAGACCTAGTTTAGTCCTGGTTTAGACCAGGTTTAGTCCTGGTTTAGACCTAGTTTAGTCCTGGTTTAGACCAGGTTTAGTTCTGGTTTAGTTCTGGTTTAGATCTGGTTTAGCTCTTATACATTTATATTTTGATAAATGAAGATGTAAATGTTCTGTGTTGTTAGATCGAGTGCTTCTGTTTTAAAATTCAGTGCTTCTTTTTGTATTTTTGCACTTTTCCTTTCAACCTTTTCCCCCTAAAACTTCCACTTAACTGATGTAATACTGTGAAAAACACCA